TCAGGGGCGCCTGGGTGGCTCGGTGGGTTAAAGCCTCTGCCTTCAGCTCAGGTCATGATCCCAGGGTCCTAGGAAAGAGCCCCACATCGGGCTCTCTGCTCTGTGGGGATCCTGCTTCCTCCTCTCTCTCTGCCTGCCTCTCTGCCTACTTCTGATATTTGTCTGTCCAATAAATAAGTAAAATCTTAAAAAAAAAAAAGAAAAAAAAAGATCACTGGATAGGGTAAACTTTATGGGATAAGAACTTATTTCAGGTCATGCCCCACTCCACAGTGGAAGTAACTTCTTGTCCTAGGGAACCAGGCCATCCCAGCAGCTGCAGCCTCTGTATTCACCAATCCAGGTTTCACAGCAGACCCACTAATTGGAGGAAATCAGTTGAATACTCCTTATCTCATTTAATTATTTTTAATGATTACTGTTTCCACCCCCCACACCAACACACATATTCCTCTTGTTCTTCCCTCCTCCCCACCAATCATTTTTAGTTAACTTTAGCGTCCTGTTGAAGATTTGTTAGTTTCTAAATATTCTACCATGTGCACTGAAGTCTGGTCATTGCTGTGATAATAACCTCAAACTCAAAAACACCATCAATATATATTCCTTTTCCTGAAATACTTTTGAGCTATTCTTCTTTAGAAACTTGGGTACATCTTTACTTTCATAGGTCTTTAAAAAGAGGGGAGTTAAACTGGATTTGAGGTTTTTAAACTTATCTTGACCCATAGCAAGAAATATATTTTTACTTCATGATAAGATTCACACAACAATACATACATGGAACTGAATAGTTTTACAAAACCATATTTACTCTTACTAGGACTGATATACGAATTTTGCTTAATTTTTTTGCCTTTTTTATTGAGATAAAACTCATGTAACATAAAATCTACCATTTTAACCATTTTTAAAGCATAAAATTCAGTTGCTTTTAGTAATTCACTATGTTGTGTAGCCATTACCACTACTTAATGTTGGAACATTTCCATCACCTCTAAAAGAAACCTTGTACCCATCAAGCAGTCACTTCCCATATTTTTTCTATTCTATTTCATTTCATCTCATTTCAAAAGAATTCTGAATAAGACTCACTAAACTGTTCCAATCCATGAGTACGGAATGTTTTTCCATCTCTTTGTCTCTTCCTCAATTCCTTTCATAAGTGTTCTTTAATTTCTAGAGCATAGATCCTTTACTTCTTTGGCTAGGTTTATTCCTGTGTATCTTATGGTTTTTGGAGCTGTTGTAAATGGAACTGATTCCTTAATTTCTCTTTCTTTTTTTTTTTTTTAAAGATTTTATTTATTTAATTGATAGAGAAAGAGAGAGAGCACAAGCAGGTGGAGAGGCAGAGGGAGAGGGAGAAGCAGGCTCCTCGCAAAGCAGGGGAAGCCCGAGATGGGATTAGATCCCAGGACTCTGGGATCATGACCTGAGCCAAAGGCAGTGGCTTAACCAACTGAGCCACCCAGGCATCCCTTAATTTCTCTTTCTTTAGTTACATTATTCATGTATAGAAATGCAACTGATTTCTGTGCATTGATTTCATAACCTGCCAAGTTGCTGAACTGCTATATGAGTTCTACTAACTTGGGGGTGGAATCTTTTGGGTTTTCCACATGAAGTATCATGCCATCTCTGAAGAGAGAGAGTTTGACTTCTTCTTTGCCAGTCTGAATGCCTTTTATTTCTCTTTGTTTTCTGACTGCTGAGGCTAGGACTTCTAGCACTATGTTGAACAATAATGGTGAGAGTGGGCAAACTTGTTGTGTTCCTGACCTTAAGGGAAAAGCTCTCAGTTTTTCCCCATTGAGAATAATATTTGCTGTGGGCTTTTCATAGATGGCTTTTATGATATTGAGGTATGTTCCCTCGATCCCTATAGTTTGGAGAGTTTTAATCAGGAAAAGATGCTGTATTTTGTCAAATGCTTTTTTTTTTTTTTTTTAAGACTCAATAAACTGGTCTAAGGAATCACTAACTAATGAGTCACAAGTCAGTCTCAAATAATTGCTAAATAAATTACTAAGAGACTGTGTTTCTCTAAATCTATGATCCTATGATCCTATTCCCTTCTAGACATTATCTCCCTCCAAGTGAAATATTTTATCTTGGAGGATTCCCACTGAAATTTTCCAAGAGATGCAACTTGTTTTTTGGACTCATTTATTCATTCACCCAACAGACACTTATTAATGGCTTAAATGGAAGAGAAATTAAAAAAAAATAGCTTCCACCTTTATAGAGTTTATAATCGCATAATGGAAAGATACTGGCATGAAAATAATTACCAATATGAAGGGGAAGTGATCAGTTCTACCTTGCAGTGTGATGAGAAGGAATTAAGAAGAATTTCAAAGAAGGTATGACCATAAGTTGAGCTTAGGAAAAACATATAGGTATTTTTTCGCTGACTTTTAGACTTCTGCTCTACAAGTCTTCTTCTCAGGGTTACACTGCCACTTCCTACAATAGACTGTGCAAATCCCAGAAAGATATTATAAGGAACCAGCTTTCATACTGACCAAGAAGGAAGACAAAAGAAAAGAAGGAAATAAAGAAACTAAAATTTATTAAATTTATCTACAATGTGACAAGCACATATATTTTCTTATTTAATCCTCCTAATAATACCTTAAAGTATATATATTTTTTTTTAATTTAAAGATTTTATTCATTCATTTGACACACAGAGAGAGAGATCACAAGTAGGCAGAGCAGCAGGCAGAGAGCATGAGGGAAGCAGGCTCCCTGCTGAGCAGATAGCCCAATGTGGGGCTCCATCCCAGGACCCCGAGATCACGACCCGAGCTGAAGGTAGAAGCTTATCCCACTGAGTCACTCAGGCACCCCAGTATATATTCTTATCCATATTTTGTTCAGGGCAAAAATCTCTCACGTTACTTCATTTTGGCTGTATAGGAACACATGCAAATATTTTCCAAGTGAGACAGGGCTATGGTGCCACAAAGTTTGGTATTTCAATGTGAAAAATTTCACTGAACATCTCTAATTTGTCAGTGGTCTTTTAGGACTTACATCAAAGTCATTATAAAATGAGAAGAAAACTGATGAAGGTACTTGTAATCCATGCTTTGTGGAGAGCCGGGGGTGGCGAGGAAGACCACAGTAGAGAATAATTTAAGATTAAAGAAAGGCGGGGCGCCTGGGTGGCTCAGTGGGTTAAGCCCCTGCCTTCGGCTCAGGTCATGATCCCAGGTCCTGGGTTCAGGCCCCACATCGGGCTTTCTGCTCAGCGGGGAGCCTGCTTTCTCCTCTCTCTCTGCCTGCCTCTCTGCCTACTTGTGATTTCTCTCTGTCAAATGAATAAATAAAATCTTAAAAAAAAAAAAAGATTAAAGAAAGGCATTCCTGGGGCACCTGGGTGGCTCAGTGGGTTAAAGCCTCTGCCTTCAGCTCAGTTCATGATCCCAGGGTCCTGGGACGAGCCCTGCATCGGACTCTCTGCTTAGCAGGGAGCCTGCTTCCCTTCCTCTCTGCCTACTGTCTGTCAAATAAATAAATAACATCTTAAAAAAAAAAAAGAAAAAAAAGAAAGGCATTCCTATTGATGTTCATGCCAGGGAAGGTTTCAGTCCCCCAGTCAGATGGCCAGAAATGGGCAGTAATTTTTAAAAATCATGGAGAATGAATCTCCTGTTTCCTAGGAGAAAATCTTACTACAGCATCTTGCTTGAAAGTTATTCTTTGCCCTGATGAAAAGCTGAGAGAAATGAAGAGTTCCTGGCCTGTTCAGAATAGACCACAGTGATCCGCCAACTAGAACTGTCAAAAGATCCAAACGACATCAGAGCAGCATGTGGAAATAAGTAAGGCTAGAAAGCATAGGACTAGGCATTGTTTGGGATAACGTAGGTGGACCTTTTTTAGCAGGAAATCTGAACAAGGATCACTGTATTTGACCAGGCTGCTGTAGGAGTGGGCATCGGTGAAGGTTGGGGATGGAGGAGACCTCTTGGAGGAAGCAGGAACACAAATAGATTGTTGAGTAGGAGAGTGAATGCAGAGCATGTGGGAAACCAAACTTTTTAGAGTCCAGGAGATAACAGTTGATAAGGAGGCAACAGAAGCATTGCTTCAAAGATAGGGTAGAGAACTCTGGGTTGTCATAGATAACAAGCAAGTACAGAAGTCTGAGGGCTTCAGTAGCCACCAGTAACTGAGAAGAATTCATATAAAGCCTAAGAAGTAGATTACTGGTTGGCAGAAAAAGAACATTTTAAAAAGGAGAGCCAGGGGACGCCTGGATGGCTCAGTTGGTTAAGCGGCTGCCTTCGGCTCAGGTCATGATCCCAGCGTCCTGGGATCGAGTCCCACATCGGGCTCCTTGCTCGGCAGGGAACCTGCTTCTCCCTCTGTCTCTGCCTGCCTCTCTGCCTACTTGTGATCTCTCTCTCTCTCTTTCTCTCTGACAAATAAATAAATAAAATCTTAAAAAAAAAAAATAAAAAGGAGAGCCAGAACTCAGAAGTAGGGAAAAATGGAAGGAGTTAGTATTTTATTGAGCACTTATGCCAGGCACTGTGCTGTGTGCTTTACATCTTATATAAAACTCATGGGACACCTGGGTGTTTCAGTCAATTAAGCATCCAACTCTTGATTTTAGCTCAGGTCATGATCCCATGGTCATAGAATTGAGCTCCGGGTCAGGCTCTGTGCTCAGTGGGGAGTCTGCTTGGGATTCTCTGTCTTCCTCTGCCCCCACACCCACTCTTTCTCTCAAATAAATAAATCTTAAAAAAATAAAATAAAATAAAACTCAAATCCACCCAAGAAAGTAAGAGACCATCCCTATTTTGTAAACAACAAATCTGGGGTTTAGATTCTGTTTTTATAGTTGGGAAGACTCTATATCAGATTAGCAAAAAGACCAGAGGTAGGGAGGAGAAACACTTTTTAACAGGGAGTTAGAAGAAGCTTTAAAAAGCTTTAATATAATATACTAAGATAAAATAAACAAAACCAAGAAAACTTACCCTTGGGCCTGGTGCTCCAGGTGGACCCTATAACATGACAAATTAAAAAGGGATTTTTCAGTAGAGATCTCAAACCAGGCAAGGCATATAAGCATCAACAGTAAACAGATATAAATGTAAATACACTCACTGGAGGTCCTGGTTGACCTCGTGGCCCTTGGGGACCCTAGAAGAAATGGAGACAAAGCACAATACACGTATCTTATGCTTTTGGTTTGATATAAACAAGACAACTAAGATTCAACCTCTATCATTGCCTTTCATGTGAGGCAGGTCATAAGATTCAAAGTTGTTTTACTGTTTTGAAGTCATACCCTCTTCGTACTCAACTATCATACACATTCATGAACAAGCTGGATATTTACTTTCATGTTTTATTGATATTACTAGAAACTGAATTTATTCGTTTTAACAAACAATTATAAATACAACATTTAAAAATGTTAATACTGTCTAAGTATGTTTTTCTTGTTATTCCTACCCTCCACCTTATCAGCAAAGATGAAACTTTAGTGTCCTTTTCCTTCAACATCCAACTATAATCTGGTTACCCAACACTGTTGAATTGACCTTCAAATCTCTCCAAAATACTACTTCTCCATCTTCACAGTGACTTAGTTTAATGTTAATCATGTGCTATAGACTGAATGTTTGTGTCATCCCCATTAACATATTAAAGCCCCAATCTCCAATGTGATGGCATTTGGAGGTGGGGTCTTTGGGAGGTAAACAGATCATGTGGAGCCCTTATGAATGGTAATGACTTAGAGAAATGATCTCTTTACCATATTAGGATACAACAAGAAGGCAGCTATCTGCAAACTAGGAAGAAGACCCTCACTTGACATTGAACCTATCAACATCTTGATCTTAGACTTCAGAGCCTCTAGAACTAAGAAAAATAGTATTTGCTGTTTAAGCCACCAGTCTATGGCAATTTGTTGTAGCAGCCCTAGCTAAGGCATCACATGTTGCTTGTACTCCTAATCTGAGGTCCTGAGTTTATTCTCTCTACTACGTTAATTATATTTATAAAATGGAACTCTCATCAGGTCATTATTTAGTTAATATTATGCAATGGCTCTTTATTGTCTAGAAATTATAAACTTCCTAACAGTAACAGCTACTATTTACTGAGAACTTACTACATGCTTAGTCGTGTGCTCATTTTCTGAGAACTATATGCTAAGTTGTGTGCTATATTTCAGTTAAGAGAATGGCAATCAGCAAATACAGGACAGAGCTAGGATAAAACTGAAGTCAACTGGATGAAAAAGTGTATGTTCTTAATCAACATACATCCCTGCCTCCTCTTCAAGATCTGGGCCTCACCTCTGCTTATTCGCCCAAACACACCTACACTCCGTATATAACCAACTACTTGTGGATCTCTGAATCTTCAAAGTTCATTCACACATAGCTTTCTCTTGCATGTGCTATTTCCTTGACCAGGAATGCTCTTCCTTACCTTCTCTAACTGTTTAACTCTAATCCCTCTTCCAGAGTTAAAACTCTATACCCACCTTGCTCACCCCTCCCGCGCCATCTCTCTCCTGCTCAAGGAACCACTTCTGCATTCCCTAGTACATAACATGGTGGAAAATCCTTAGGAACCCTTAAGAGTGTCTTAGTCACCTTTGCACTTTCTGGAACAAGAATAGTGACTACTCTGTAGCAGGTGTGTGAAAATTGTATTGAATGAATGCATAATATTAAAATTAACTAGTATTAATTTAGAAATTAGAACAATTAAAATGTATATAATAAAATGTGAAAAGTTATGTTGACATTTTTCAAAATGAAACAACAGTAATCACTACTAAGAGAGGGTATTATGTTAAGAAAATAAGTCAGTCAGAGAAAGACAACTATCATATGATCTCACTGATATGAGGAATTTGAGAAACAAGACAGAGGATCATAGGGGAAGGGAGGGAAAAATGAAACAAGATGAAACCAGAGAGGAAGCCAAACCATAAGAGACTCTTAATCTCAGGGAACAAACTGAGGGTTGCTGGAGGGGAGGGGGGCAGGAGGGATGGGATAACTGGGTGATGGACATTGGGAGGGTATGTACTATGGTGAGTACTGTGAATTGTGTAAGAGTGATGAATCACAAACCTGTACCCCTGAAACCAATAATACATTATATGTTAATTAAAAAAAAAAGTGGCTTGTGAAAAAAAAAAGAGAGAGAGAGAGAAAGAATGTCTGCTCAAGGGATACCTGGGTGGCTCAGTCAGTTAAACATCTGACTTTGGCTCAGGTCATGATCTCAGGGTCCCAGGATTGAGCCTCCCATCCAGGTCCCTGCTCAGCAGGGAGTTTGCTTGTCTTTCTCCCTCTGCCCCTCCTCCTGCTTGTGCTCTCTCTCTTTCTCAAATAAATAAATAAAATCTTAAAAAAAGAATGCTCCAAATTTCACTTATTTGATGATCAACTGAATAGTAAGACAACATTGAGTCAAATTCAGATTATGGTTAAAAGATGACAAAACCCAATTTATCTTCAGATGACAAAACCCAATTATTTAGATTTGAATAAAGTTGATGTTATGCTTGACTTATATTAAGTACTGCTGTAGCTATTGATTCTAAATATCCTGTGACAACTAGAGCAAACAACAGTAACTTAAAAATGATAAGAGTACTCCAGTACCATGCCTGCTGGACATTTCTTGGTTTGCATGACTTATGATTACAATTTACAATAAAGAATGTATGAAACTTGTACCTCAGAAGCTGCATGATAAATTACAGAAATGTTATATTGGAGATAACCTTTAAATATATACAGGCTCAGAATGAATTTGGCTGTGTAAGTGTCTCCGTTCTGGAGCAACATTGTAAAAAAACAGTTGACATTTCACCCCACTTAGCATATTTTGATATTTGCAAAATCTCACTGGTGGTTCAGGACAAGATGTATATCTTTGACTTCGAAAGAGGAATTTATCATAAAAGGAAGAAGCTAATTCTACTGCTGACTTTATTGATTTCTTTTCAGCTTATTATCCAAAACAAGTCCAGTCATTATAAATGTGATCAAATGAAATACTTGTAACCAAACAAGACAGGGCAAAACAACTTTAAGAAAACAACTACATAGAATGATGCAATCAGCCAAGTAAAACAAAATATTATAACAATATAACACTTATTAGTTCTTTTCTATCCCTTTAGCTCACCAATAAGAAAAAGTGAGTAACTCTCTCTAGATACTATAGAAAAAAGTATTTAAAGCAGTTTATAATAGAAGCAGTTTATAATAAAACTATGATTGTCTGTGTTACTTTCCTAAAAGGAAACAAAATTAATGTGAATGCTTCTAGTGATAATTTGGCCATAGTCAAAGCACTACTATTGGAAATAGACACTCTTTTCATTTAATCCCAGAATTTACATTTGATCCTCCAAAGGTAACCTATTTTTTCTTATTCTTTAAAAATACTGATAAGTGCACATCCTTGAACTTGAATATGTTAGACTTCGCTGTTAGGTAAATGCAATCTTGACTTAGTTTCATAATCTTCATAGGCAGGCTTAGGTATACAGAGCTTCCTTATTCTCATTTATAAATTGAGAACCTAGCATTATAGGATGTTTAGCAGCATCCCCAGTCTCTACTCGCTAGATGCAACTAGCAACTCTCCCTTTTCCCCAGCTGTGACAACTAAATATGTCTCTACATATTGCCAAATGTCTTCTGTGGTATGTGTGTGGTTTGGGGGCAGGGGATGGCTCCTCGTTGAGAACCACTGATTTAGAGGGTTTAATTGGGAAGTTAGTAATATTAAATGAGATTTATTAGAAGTAATATGCTTAGAATGGAATCAGTGAATAATAAGGCACAGAGGATAACTACAAATCAAGAATCTACTCGGGCGCCTGGGTGGCTCAGTGGGTTAAGCCGCTGCCTTCGGCTCAGGTCATGATCTCAGGGTCCTGGGATCGAGTCCCGCATCGGGCTCTCTGCTCAGCAGGGAGCCTGCTTCCCTCTCTCTCTCTCTCTCTGCCTGCCTCTCTGCCTACTTGTGATCTCTCTCTGTCAAATAATAAATAAAATTAAAAAAAAAAAAAAAGAATCTACTCATGTGTAATCTGCCATATAAATGGCTGAGCTACTCTTAATGTAGGTGAGAGGCATCTATCTGTCTCTACCATCTTCTTATCCAAGTTGCTCCTAAAGCTTATTTTCTGAGAAGCACTATAATTAATAGAAAAGTGCAATAGTTACAGGAATTGGGAGACCTGGGCTGTGATCTTTTCTCTTACTTCATTAGCTGCATGAGTCCTTGAGTGAGTTGCTGCACATTTGGATCTCAGATATCTCAACTGTAAGAAGGTTTGGTGAAGATATATCCCTAAGATTCACTTTAAAATTGTGATTTTTCAAACATTTTATCAATTTTCTCCTTCATATGTTGTATATGAAGAAAGAAAGTAGCCACATGCATACAAGTTGGGAATTTTAAATTTGAAGTTTGTATGAATGTAAGGAAGTATGTCCTTGAATTAAAAGAGTTTGATAATTATTTGAATGAATTATGCTATCTATGGATTTTAAAAAATCATATACATATATACTTTAAGTTCTTAATTTGATAATATTTAAGACATATTTTCCCATAACTTAGCTTTTCCTTATAAGGCATCTTCCTCACTTTCAAACTGGAGGCAAATAAGATAATTCTGCTAATCAAGAACTGTGAAGACACATGGACTTAGAGGTACTATGTGAGAAAATGTCAATTGTATTCTTCAATATTTTATTGATTTTCATTAAATAATATGCTACAAAAATGAGACAACTAATCTAAAAATTTAAATGCTGAGATTATTCTCTATTTTTTCTACTTCTGTGGCTTTAAGCTATATGTTTCAAGTTGTGACATTTTGTCAAAACCCTTTTCAGATGATTGACACTAGGATATTATTTTTGTTATGAGTTAAAATTCTATTTTTTTACTAATTGTATCTATTATTTCTGGTGATCTTTTTTATTTGCATTACTTACTTCATAAATTAATCATGTTCTGAAAGTGTTTGGTGTCTCATGGAAACCAGGAAATTTTTACAACTTTTAAAGATTAATCTGCATTAACATGATAGTTTTGAAGCAGGGGAAGAGGATAGAGTTCTACATGCTATATGCTAGGAAGCCTTCCTAGGATGTCATAAAACTCTGGCTCAGTTTAGAATATATATACCAAAGGCAGGCAGATATGGAGCACATATAGAATAGAAAGGAAAAAGTCACTCTTTAATATACGGCAATACAGAAACAACTTTCTTAGCGGTGGAAAGGACCTATTTGGGACCAATACTAGAGTTTATAACCTTAAACTGTAGAACATAAAAGCTTCCTAGCCAGGAAACCCAAATTTATCCTAAAAGATATATATTTCATATACTGTATAATGAGCTGTAACTTTTTTTTTTAAGGCATTGAATAATGATTTGGTCTTAGTATAAAATGGCATAGCTTTATAAATTCTTATGCCAGCTTCATGGAAGATTTAAAAATAAGATTTATAAAGCCTGCTTGATATATTCTTATATTTCTGATTTTTTTATGAAGAGTGACGTATCATGTTTGTCTCAATATAATAGATCTTGGCTAATAAAAATTCATTCCAAAAATGTCCCATTTTGGGCATATGGGAGGCCCCATATTATTTGAGGTTGACCCCCTTGAGGATATATTTGGAAACATAATAATTAACTAGAAGTCTATAGGTGGTTAGTTAGTTAAACCATTCCCTTAAAGAAAACAAACTTGCAGAAAATACTGAAAAAAAATCCTAATGAGAATATCAGAAATGTTACTAAGCTTTTCCATAGGATGAAAGCAGAGTATGGTTTAAATTATACATTCTATAAAGTTAATGCAGATGATTTCTAGGAATTAAAAGATTACTTTTTTGAAGTTCCTTAAGCCATAGTGGGATCAAAGAGAAAGAAGTGATAAAAAGATATTTAGTACCAGTTAATCAACAATAAAACCGAGGATACACCAGTAAATTCTAATGTGCCAGTTAATCCTTTTTTCAACAGCTAATTTTATTGCCTATACTAAATACCACTCTGCTCCTCCCCCAACCTTGTGTACTAGGAGTTTGCACTTTATTTATGAAGGGAACTATGGTAATCTACAGAGCAAAAGACTAATAAGTATGTTAAGTCAGTAAATGCTACTCTACCAGCCATAACTGAAAATAGTTGTTGACTTTTAATTTTATGGAATAGTATTCATTTAGTTATTCTTTTCTCAAATATTACCTATTACATGGTAGATTCTTTGCTGGATACTGATAACCAGTGTATTAGACAAAGTTCCCTGATCTCATGTAGTTTATATTCTAGCAGAGGAGACAGAAAAATAATTTTTAATACTGCTAACTACTACAAAGAAAACAAAACAGGATATTGTGAAAGAGAATGACCAGGAATAATGAGACTAAATGATGATGCAAGGCTTCTCTGAGATAGTATTTGAGCATGGACCTGAAGAATGAGATAAGAACTAGCCATGTGGAGAGCAGATGAAAGAATTTTCTAAGTAAAATGAAGGCAGTTTCAAAGAATAAAAAGGAAGTGTGCACAGTAGGAAGGGGAAAAGAGTTACATCATGAGTCTGGAGAGGAAAACTGGAGCTAATTCTTGTAGGGTACGGTAGACTAAAGTAAGGAATTGAGACTTTATTCTCAGTGCAAGAAGGAGTCATAGGAAGGTTTTCAAGAGGAGGGTGATATAATCTGGTTTATGATTTAATGGTATCACTCTAGTTGCTACAGAGAAGGAACTATAGTAGGGAAAAGTGGAAGGAACACAAAGAAGTCAGGAGACCAGGGGAGACATCAGGGCGATCTGGACAACACCGCCAGTGATGAAGAATGAGAGACGTACATGGATTCAGAATAAGAATCAGACTTGACATGATCTCGCCTCTACTTTAAAGAACTCTTCTTTATGTTCTGTACCTTTCTTTGTTCTTTTATGGGATGTTTGCTTACTTTTCTTTTATTAGAATCATAAACTCTTAGAGCTGCAAGGGGCTTTAGATGTATAAATTCTAGTTTCCTACTCAGTAGAGGACTACCAGTCCAGTAACTCAGAAGGATAGTCATTAGGCTTCTACTGACAGGCATTCACTATCTTGCAAAACTATCTTGTTTTAAAATAGTCCCCTTATTGGGGACCCTGGATGGCACCATCGGTTGAGTGGCAGATTCTTTGTTTCAGCTCAGGTTGTGATATCAGGGTCCTGAGATCGAGCCCCGCTTGGAACGCTGCTCAGAGAGAGCTCTGCACGGAGCTCCACGCTTCACACTCAGCACGAAGTCTACTTGGGATTCTCCCTCTCCCACTGCCCCTCCTGTTTATGCTCTCTACCCCTCTCTCTAAAATAAGTAAATAAACCTTAAAAAAATAAAGCGGTTCCTTATTATATTGGCTTATTATTATATTGAGTTGAAATCAGCCTTAATGTTCCATCCATTTAGTTAATGGTATCTATTCTGTATAAATTATGTGCTAAGTTGTGTGACAGGCTGGAAACTAGGGAGTATTAAATATACTTCATACTCTTACGGAGCTCACTGTCTCTCAGGGAGTTAAGCACAGAAATGGAAAATTCAATTCAACAAATAAACAATTTAAAATATATCCTGGAGAGTCACTCATATTATACAGATTCTTCCTCTTCCTTTCAAATGTTTAAAGACAACTATCATGTCCCAACCCCTCAACTGTTTTCTAATTCATTCACCAGTAATTTCCTTTCCCCTTTCCACTCCTCCTGGGGCATATGACTTCACTGTGTGCAGTCATCCTTGCTTTCTGCTAGAGTAAGTCCCCGGAGAAAATATGAGGGCATGCTTCTGCAAATTAAAAACATCTGTTTTGGGGTGGGCACTGGCTGGTTCAGTCAGTAGAGCATGCATCTCTTGATCACGGGGTTGGGAGTTCAAGCCTCATGTTGGGTATAGAGAGAACTTAAAAATAAAATCTTAAAAAAAAATCTATTTTGATCCCTCTGGGATTCTTAGACTATCTAAAATCACTCAATTTCCCTTCTTCAGCTAATTAACATAACTGCAACTTATTTATCCTGAGCCCCAAGAATACCCTATGGTGAAAAGAGAAAATGTCAGCCGTCAATATAATTTCATTACTTATTAAGCAAGATTTTACTGCGACATTCAAGTTTATTCTTATTTGCCTTCTGTACTTGGTTTCACTCCATGCCTGTGCTCTGTTTAAGCTGGCGCTTTAGTTAGTTCAGCAGAATCTCTGCTGGAAAAGTGTCCCCTTTACAAAATATCTTCTTTAACTGGGGGAAATGGCATCCCAGAAAAGTAGGAAATAGTGCCAGCATAAGCCATATAGAGCCAGAACGTGCTATGTACCTTTTGTCCACCCTCCCACAATTGTTTCCAATTGGCTGCAAAGCTAACGATTTGCTTCTGCTTGGCACCTCTTGGGCACTGACTGGACGTGGTGGGTATAACCCCCCACCCCCCCGCCAAGGCAACTTGGTGGTGCTCTCACTCCAGGACTGTTGTAGAAGGCTCACAAAGCAAATGCCTGATGCTCGACAAGGCAAATACGCCATTTCACACAAGGCCTGGGAAGAATTTGATTGGCAGGCTCTTAAACATGTTTGGGGGGGGTACTCAGGTCCCACGACAATGTACCACTTAGATTAGTTCTACTTCCTGAAAATTCTAATTTTATTTTTATTCCACAAGTATTAGAGACATAATCATGAAAGAACCCCAAACAAGGTCCTTGCTTTTATGGAACCTAGGTAGCCTAGTGACAAGTGATAACATAACCAGAAATTTAAACTTACAGTTTCACCTCTAATGCCTTTTTCACCTCTGGGTCCCTACAAGAAAACAAAAAATGTTGTTTTAGTGCTACTGACAGTTACTTACCAAATGTAGTTGAGACTATATACAGAAACACGGTAACCTCTGTTTTTGTTTTTTTCTATCTAGCAAGCCTTCTTTAGCAAATTTATATAAATTCTAGTTTCCTTTCCCTAAGGTAAGCAAAGCAAAACACAAACAAAAACAAGGTATTGATTTTTCACCTTGTGCACAAAGTTAGACAGGGACAACAAGCACTCAGTGAAGCCAAAACAGCAGATCTGATAATCAGATACAGAGCTATTTAGAAGGGAATTTACCAGCTTAAATTCTTCTAATATTTGTTTACCTCAGCCTTTGAAAACCTTGTTTCTAGGGTGATGTCCTCCTTTTCTTTCATTTTCTCTATTCCTCCTTCTGAGCTACATCCCACAAACTTTGGTATGTTGTATACAAGAACATTCAGTTTTAATTATTTTCTAACTTTCTTGAGATTTCCTCTTTGATCCATGGATTATTAAGAAGTACATGGTTAAATCTGCAAGTGTTTGGAGATTTTCTTATTATCTCTCCAGTTTACCAGTTTTTACTTTAATTCCATTATGGCCAGAGAACATACCTTGTGTGACTTCAGTTCTTTTAGGTTTAGTAAACAATTTTTTATGATTCAAAATATGGTCTATTTCAGTGATTTTCCATGTACACTTGAAGAGAAAGTATAGTCTATTATTAGATGGACCTATTCAAAAAATCTGTTAGTAATTTTGTTTTCATCCTTGTGGAAATTATATATGTATTTTTTATTTTAAAAACGAGATAGTATTATTGTCTTTTCAGAGACCTGAATTTACACTTTCACAATATGTTATGAGTGTTTTCCACATCAATCCACATTCTTCCATACAATTATAATGTTTATTTAGTGCTTAATAAACAATAATATTTTTATTGAATTTCCTATTAGATTATTTCTAATTTTGGTCATGCTAACACTGCAACAAATATCCTTGTACTCTATAAAAATTGTCCTCCAGAAAGTTGATTTGAGTATGCATGCATGCCTGCACAATATGGGGGTTTATGACTTCTGACACACACCATGTACTATCATTCTTTATTAATCTTGCAGGCTAAAATTACTATCTCATTATTTCACCATTGATCAGTTCTTCTGTGTTTCCTGATTGTTCTAAACTCCTTTTAAACTGGGATATTAACTTTCAGAAACGAATTGTTAAGATACCTTTACAGAACTTGTTTTTAATGCCCTAGTCTACCTCCAGCCCGGTATTAACAATTTGGTATGTACGTTTGTTCATACCTTTTTTCCTAAGCAAATATTGACAAATATATTTATGTATGTATGGGGTGACTGGTTATATTTTATAAAACTGATATATACTCTTCTATGCATCAGATTTTTCACACTTAACAATACATCATGAATAGCCACAAGGCAGATGAACTAGATATAACTGGTTGTTTTCAATAGTTGCATAGTATTCTATGAAATGGCTAGGCCACGGTTTACACAACCATTCTTCTACAAATGAACATGGGATTTCAAGTTTTGTTAATACATCCAGTACTGTGAAAAAATTTTTTGTAAACTTTCCTTAGTGTATACTGAGTGCTTAATTTCTATTGCACAAATTTCTCTAAGTGGAACTGATTGGTCAAAAGGTATATGCACTTATATTTTAACAAATATCTTTTTCCATGAAGGCTATAATTCACATTTCTACTACTACTGTTCTCCCTAATCCCCTTCTGAGAGGTTAGATGTAATATCTTGTTATTACTTTAATTTGCATTTCTGTTACTCTAAGTTAGGAGAGCATCTTTCCAAAAAATTATTGGATTTGTTCTTCAATTTTCTATTGAGTTTTCTATCTTTTTCATACCAAATTGTAAGAGCTCTTTACATATGAAGTCTTTATATATTTTTTCAATTGCTTTCCCCCAACTTATATTAATTTTGTTTATGGAATCTTTTCCCATTCAAAATTTAAAAAATTTGAAGTGAACACATATTCTGTTCTATTATATAGTTTTAGGATTTCCTTTCTTATATAAAAGGTCTTCTCAACCTTAAAGCTACACTTTAGCTTTCTAAGTTTTTTTAATAATTTAAAGTCTTAAAAAAAAGTTAAAAAAAAAAGTTGGTTGAAATATGGTTCCAATTTCTAACAACAATAGTGGGACTAAAAATAATTCCATCTCCGCTGTCAGTGGTATAATAGGCATGTGGCTGATCAATGGACATGAGGAAAAATGCAATGGGAGATTTCTGGAAAAAAGCTTTATTTTTTCTCAAGATAAGGCTGTAGATCAGTTTTCACTTTGGATAATTGCATCTGGATTTAATTGCTGAGAAATTACAGTTATCTTATAGAAGCTTCATTATGAAGCTAACACTCTGGATGACAGAGTAGAGACATGGAAAGAACCTGGTCTTGGATAACATGATTGAGTCACTAAATTAACCAAATCTGAAGCCCTTCCTACCTCTGGGCTTCCCTTAATGTGATATAAATTTCCTTATTAAAACCAGTTTGATTCAGGGTTCCTATTAACTTAACAGCCACAATCATACTGATATATCATTTTTGTTACGATTAAATTCCTATATATTCTGAGATCTAATTCTGGACTCCAGCCTATTTACACTCATCTATTTGTTTATTCCTTTGTGCTACCATATAGTCTCATTTACAATGACTTAAAAGTAATGTTTCCTTATTTGGAAAAGCATATCTTTCATCCCCCACCACTATTTTTTTTCTCTCACAAAATATCTGCCATTCTCAAGTGCTTATTCTTTCATAGTAGACTTAGAAGACTCTTTTTAGAATGGAAAAAATGGAACATGGAAAATATTTGATGGGCATGGTGAATATCATAAGGATCTTTAAGAACTAGCTATACATAAAAGTTATTTTAATTGAGCCATTTCTTTATTATAGTTCCCTTGACTAATTAATATTTCACATTTTTTGACAGAGGAGAACAATTATTCAGTAATCACAAGTATGTGTTTCTTAGCTTGCTGAAGAACCACCCACCAAAATCAGAGAATTCTCCCACTTACAATCTCCCACTTAGACTATATAGCTCTGAGTGGTAAAAGCTGAAAATCTAGAGAAATGTTGAGTTACACTTTTCATTTGTAAAATCAAAAATTCAACAGCTTTGGTGGGAAATTCTTTCCTAATTTATCAAAGAGAATATTGTTTATACCCAAAGCATTCCATTTTATATATTAAGACTCTGTGTCTCTCCATATAATGCTTTCAAAGGATTCAAAATATTGATTCCCTGCAGGGAATACCTTTTTCCTCTCCAAATCTCAATTTGTCCCTACCTACTGGGTTCTTTCTCTTGTATGTTTACACTACTATTAGTATTATAAAACTCTCCCCTGACCACTCTGCCAACCATTGTCTTATTTTTCTGTTTTATTTCATATTCAGATTTCTAAAGGCACTGGCCTCTACTAACTGTCTCAGTGTCCTTTCCAGACACAGTTTGGATGGGGGCAGAAAGAGCTGAAGAAACATCACCTATGTAATTCACTAGCTGTACCACCTTGAATTAACTAGGTGAACCTTTGTGAACCTAATCTGTTTCCCCATGTCTTAAATAGAAATGATAATACCTATTTTAAAAGTCTGTATAGGAATTTGATAAAAGTTATTAAATATTTATATTTACTTCCTTCCTTATTGCAGTTTGTACTTTATCTTCTACTATAATTTATTTTCTTAAAGATCACTGTTAACCACTCCTTACTTGAAACTCATTTAGCTGAACCTTGTGCTTTTCTGTTTTTCCTGGTATTCCCACAAACTATCTCTTTTCTTTATAGTGGGTGGGCACTTTCAAAGATTCGGATCTTGGCTGTCTGCACTTTTTTTGTTACACTTTCTCCTTCAGAAAACGGATTCTTTTTATTGCTTTAGTGATCACCTCTATACTAATGGTGCTTAGCCCCTTCTCCCCTGCTCCAGGTCTACTTTCCTTTCTCAACTCCAGTTTTAGTGTTTATCTCACTATATACGCCTTCTTCAGTACACATATGGTCTCTAAGCTCTTAGGAATCACCTTCTAGATGAAAATGTACATCTATTTTTGCCCTTGGCTTCTCAAATACCCAGAGTAATCCTTTTTGGATTGCTCTAGAAATAGGATTAAAGAGGGAAAAACAAGAATATGAAAAAGAAAAGGAAGACCTATATTGTAACAAACTTACAGTTCTACCTGTTGGGCCTATTATACCTTCTTTGCCAAAGGGGCCAGTGTTTCCCTGTTGAGGTAAAAGAAAATCAGTCAGTCTCACTGCCAGTATAATGCAGAAAAATTCTAGAAAATTTCTTGTGTAACAGTAAAATAGTCCATGTCCACATAATTCCAGTTTTTAGTAGAAAATCTAATAATATCAAAAGAAATCATAGTACTTTTGACTTGCCGTATGTGACACAATTCTATATATTATTACAGATTCCTAAAAGAAGAGTTATATCTGTGTAATTTCTAACAAACTGCTAAATCAGCAATACAATTTTTGTGTGGTGATAACTTTAACGATGCCATTTTACATGTGGGTTATTACATAAAAAAATGCAAGTACTTTACATAAAAAAGACTACATAGAATGATGAACAAAATTTTGAATAACTTTCTTTACGGAGGCTGAAGGAAATGTCTGAGTGACTTGCAGCATGGAATTGAGAGAAGGCATGGGAAAGAAACAAAGAGCATCATATGTGACTAACTTCAGTTTCTCCATCTGTTAAATATGATTGTCTGTATCATAGGGCCATTTTGAGACTTAAATGTGAAAAATGATTTTGAAACTGTAAGCTGTTATTGATTATGAAGATAACCTTGAATAAGCTCAGTCTGGTCAATTCTTCCCAAATTATGTATGGAAGCTATCTTTTTTTTAATTGAAGTGTAACTCACTTACAATATCTTATTAGTTTCCAGTGTACACCACAATGACTCAAAATTTTTATATATTATAAAATGATCCCCACATTAAGTCTAGTTACTATCTGACAGCATACAATGCTATTACAATATTATTGACTACACTTCCTATTGTATAGATTACATCCTCAGGACTTACTTATTTTATAATTGAAAGTTTGTACCTCTTAATTCTCCTCACCCATTTTGCCCACCCCCCAACCCCTCCCCTCCTCTAGGAACCAACAGTTTGTTTCCTTATATCTATGTATCTGCTTCAATTTTGTTTTGTTGGCTTGTTTTATTTTTAGATTCTACACGCAAGTAAGATCATGCTATATCTCCCTTTCTCTGTCTGACTTACTATTTCTTTATGAATACAAAATACTTATTGTACTTATTTTCCCTCAACCTCCACTCCCACTCCCATTTGCAACAAATTTCAGTCTTTCTGGCTCATGCTTAACCTGAATTCTTAAATGTAAGTATCTAATAGGCTTTCTCTTTATCCAACTCCTGCCCTTGTACAGAAAATACTAGCAATTGAGATCATTATGTCATAAAGTCTATTCACAGATAGCGTAGAATCACTTTTAAATACAAAGACTGACTTTAAGTGGTAATTTGTAAATACAGTCCCCAAATCTCAAAGATCTACAACCAAATCAAGACATAGAACACTACATCAAAAACTAATGATGTACTGTATGGTGACTAACATAACACGATAAAAAAAAAAAGAGAGAGTTGATTCATAAACTAATCAAATTTAAGCCCTAGTTTGGTTTATCACTGAAAAAAAAAGTCAACAAAGCTTTAATTTAATGAACTGGACTATGATCTGACTCTAAAATAGTGATTTGTTAAAAGAACGGAGAGGTATACATGAACTCTAGAAAATGGTAGACCAAACAGCAAAAAAGTGTCTATGCTTATCTAAATGTGTCTGAAAGACAAAGTGTTTTGATTTTATTTATTATTTATTTTATATTTTTACAGAGGGAGAGAGAGGTAGTGGGGAAGGGGCAGAGGAGGAGGGCGAGGGATAATCTTAAGCCAGCTCCATGTCCAGCACGGAGCATGAGGCAGGGCTCCATCTCACAATGCTAACAACATGACCTAAGCTGAAACCAAGAGTCAGACACTTAATCGACTAAGTCACCCAGGTGAGCCTGAGGTGTTATGATTTTAATGGTTGGTCCAGTTAACTACATAAAAACATCTTTGAAATGAAGAAAAATTAATCCAGATTTCCTACTTCAATTAATTTATTTAATCATCTAGTATTTATTGATTGTTGAGCAAGAACTAGTTACTAGGCCACTTAATATCCATTCTATATTCTAATTAAACAATTAGCAGGCAACCTTATAACATATTTTTTGGCCAGTCAGCTGTGAATTCAGATTTTGGCTCTTCTACTTACTAGCCAGGTATGGCCTTGAGCAAATTACCTTTCAGAGACTTAGTTTCCCCATCTGTAAAATGGGGATGATGGCATCTCTCACAGGATTTTTATCAGGATTAAATGAGAGAAGGGACACAGACTGAACACTGGTAGATAATCGTTTTTTTGCTAAGTTATTAACCTATCATGACTTTTCACTTGTCTTTATAATGACTCAGCAAGAGATATCTGCAATTATAAATTAATATTCATGAGCAGTTACCAGAACTTTATTATTGGTGAACTGATAAAATTTCTGGAGCTGCAAAGCAGGATAGGGCTCAGACCCTGGCCTACAGAAACCCAGTGCCTAAAAAAAAAAAAAAAAAAAAAAAGAAACCCAGTGCCTAGTAAGATTCTGCTTAGGACAGATGTTAGGCAGGCAGCCAAATATCAAGAAAGGACTAATTAATTGAGAAAGCTTAATAAAACTACAATGAAGGGATTTAATTAGTAGGGGACTTAATATATGTAAGAACTTAAAAGCGATGTTTATTAGAGAGGAGGTGTTCCACATATAACTCACCTGTGGATAATCAAGAATTGGGCCTCATATAAAAGCACCAACTTTCCGCGGTTCTTCGGGAATCATAAAAATAACTAATAAATTTGCATCTGAAGAAATGTTGAGGCGGGTCTTTAAACAAACATTTCTCAGGGCAACATTGACCTTTGTGTTACTGAAAATAATTTATTGTAAGAGTTGGAGAAGATGTGTAGGATTTCAAAAATTTGACTGTTCATTTAATATTTTGCACAAGACACTGATTTTCAGCTGTAAAGTTCTTCGAGATTATTTTCTCCTGCTTCTGGACCACTTTCCTTCTTCTCTTTGCTGTCTCCACCTTTGTCCCTATAGTCGCTATTACTCAAGGGGGTGCAACTGCTACAGTCAAACCACTGTTCGACATTTTATCACTTTTTTTTTTTCCCAGTTTTACAGATCATCTCATCAATCAGGAGACTGGTTAATGAAAGCAAAAACAAAACAAAAAGCAAAATAAAACAAAACAAAAAACCAAAAACCAGTAACTGCTGATGGCTTATCTATCCCTACTTATATTTGCTACACTTTGCAATTCTAGGTGCTAAACAGCTAATGGAATTCTTCAGACACCAACATTCGCAACTCTTTTTTTTTTTTTTTTTTTTTTTAAAGATTTTATTTACTTGAGAGACAGAGAGCGAGAGAGAACACAAGCAGGGGGAGGGAGAGAGAAGGAGAGGCAGACTTCTCACTAAGCAGGGAGCCTGACACGGGGCTCAATCCCAGAATCCTGGGATCATGACCTGAGCTGAAGGCAGATGCTTAACTAACTGAGCCACACAGGCAGCCCCAACATTCGCAACTCTTTAAGCAGTTCCTCATCATTCTCCAGGGATAGCTACCCCTGAGCTGGGAAAACATAGCTATTGGGAAATATTTTTCAAAGTGTGGTGAGAGGAGCTCTGGTCCTAGACAAGCCTCCTCCAAGTGATGCATGGGGGTGGTCTCTGGTCTCTGGTTGCATTAATGCTTATAACACGAAACTGCTTTACATTTTTGTTCCTAATGTGAGTTAATAAATACATTATCCAGTATCAACATTAATTCTGATATGTATTTTCTAAAGTAAGAACAGGGAAGATGGGTGGTCTCTAGGGTCTTTTGCTCAAATTAATATATGAACTGAAAAAGGCTGAGAACATTTGCATGGGATCTAATGAGTTTCTTTTTTTTTTTTTTAAAGATTTTATTAATTTATTTGACAGACAGAGATCACAAGTAGGCAGAGAGGCAGGCAGAAAGAGAGAGGGGGAAGCCGGCTCCCTGCTGAGCAGAGAGCCTGATGCGGGGCTCGATCCCAGAACCCTGGGATCACGACCTGAGCCGAAGGCAGAGGCTTTAACCCACTGAGCCACCTAAGCACCCCTGAGTTTCTATCTTTACAGTCATTTTATTAAGTTATTAATTTGGAGTATATTAATTTTAGAATTCTTAATGCTAATTCCTAAAATAAGCAAAGAATCACAATCTCCCGGCAAGTAGAATGACTTTATACTTACTCTCTGTCCAATAGGACCTTTAGGACCTGATATTCCAACAATGCCAGCATCTCCCTCAGGACCCTAAAAATAGAATAAAAATAAAAAGTCAAAATCTTTCATTCTATATGAACATTTTACAAGTGAAATAATCTTATAATAATCTATTGAGTTGGTTCTTAAAAAAAATGATGTACATGCTGAAGTACTATGGAGGAATTGTTCTGAACTATGCAAGTTACTTTGAAGTGCACCAAAATGAATTCAGAGAGGGAGAGAAGGATAGATAGAGTCATGATAAAGCAAGTCCAGTAAAAAGTTATGGTGGAACCTAAGTAAGAGGTATATGGGTTTTTACTCATTCTCTCAACTTTGCTGTATGTTTGAACATTTTCAAAATAAAATGCTTGGGAAAATGGAATGTGAGGGGACAGAGGTGAGTTATTCTTAAAATTGGTAGGAAAATATACACCTATGTAAAATTTTATATTAATATTTAATTTCAAAATTCAAATATATAACTCTATGAATGGAAATTTTGCAGATTAGGAAATAGGTTGTCAGAGACTCAAGTCAGAGACTAAATATTGGTATTTTGACATCTTTCTGATGAATAGCAGAAAATGTGTAAACATACTCTGGGGCCTGGAAATCCTTGGAAACCTGTCAAACCTTGAACACCATGTTCTCCCTGCAATGTGAATGGACAGGATAATCATTATTATGCAATGGTGGCCTGGCCTGTAATATAATAATACTTAGTGAATTTCTGAGTTGGCACATACAGGCTGCCCTTTCAGACCAGGCTCTCCACATGGTCCTTGATCACCTTGTGCTCCTCGGTGACCTCTTTTACCTTGAATTCCAGGTTGACCAGGTAGCCCTTGCTCACCCTAAGGACAAAAAAAAAAAGGAAAGGTGATCTTGACTTTAGAATCTATAAGCATACTGTGTTTTAAATGAAACCCCAATACAGGTCCATCCTTACGCAAAAGTACAAGGCACTGGGGAAACCAAATTCTGCATGGTCATTCTCCCTACCAATATTTTTCACACAAGCAATTGTTTGATTATAATAAGCAAGAAGTATAACAGTGGGGAAGGAAAATTTCAGGGATTGTGGCCATAAGTGTGGAAAAAATAGGGAAAGGGGAAGGATAGTGGGGCTAAAGAGAGAATAGTGAGAGGTGGTGCGTGTGTGGGGGGGGTGTTTATATATCATGGAATTTGTATTTTATTTGAATCAGTATTATTTTGTTGTGTTTTCCTCACCATACAGAGATGATTCAGCTGATACCAGAAACAGAACAGGGTCTCCTGAAGTGTGTGAGTCTTGGCTTTTACCATGGTTATCTTTTCAATCCTATCATTAAGAAATTTCTAGTACTTGTTTCCCAAGATTCCCTTTCATGCATATTCCTATCATCTCCTAAAATGTCACTTTAAAGATATACTTAAGCACTGCTGTTTTATTTGTAAAAGTTAAGGGTTTTCTAAATTCATTTTTATTTTTGAAATGAAAGTTGCAATATCTTTCACACCGTGTCTAAAAATAATAATCAGGAGGAGTTTAGAGTTAGGTTAATAAAAAATGAAGGTTGTTAGATTTTGATCAAAGATTCTTTAAGATTAGCAAATTATCCTTCACTGTCTGGAAACAAAGACACAGCTTTGAGACTTGACAAATATGGATCCTTCTTATTGTCAGGTCATACTTAAGAGATAGGAATTTTATTTCACTTTCTGGTTTTAGCACTGGTTCAGCTACACTGAATTTTAGTGGAAAGGGATGAGTCATTTCCAGTTTACCCATATGGGTCAGAATACCTGAACATTCTTTAGAACTGAAACTATGAAAATCAAATAAAGAGGTGATAATGATGAGGGTGCCAACATCTTAATCCCTGACTTTTATAAAATTGCTTTAGACACTGGAGTCATCTCTTGGTTGTAGGGGTCAATTCTGCATTGAGATAGCTCTAAATCAGGTTTTGATTAGAAAGCCTTATTGAATGCACAATACTCCATTCAATGAATGTTAATGCAAGATTTAATGATGATCACTTTGACTCTAAGAAATAAGCTCTACTCCTATCAGATTTATGAACTGTTGGGTAGATTCAGATTCAGAGGAATGGGAAGTATTTCTAAGAAAGTATGTATCTGGAAGTAATAAGATTTCTCTTTTTAGGAGGAGACAGAGGATGACAGGAAAGAAGAAACAGAATGAGTCAAAGAGCATCTTTTAAAGCATTGCCAATACTGAATTAATGAGTTGTTCTGGCAATTATACGCACCATGGTTATCACAGGAAAGGAGAATGTCCAGGCCACACACTTTCCTTTTTTTCCTAATGTCTTTTTACCATTGGTCAAATTTATTAAAAACCATTAACCTTACCATCCTGTGACCTAGCCAATGAACTCAGGGACAAAATGTTTGTCAATGGTGCTGCTCATCTATCAGAAGAAAATGTTATAGTACCTTTGGGCCTGGGACCCCTGGGCTTCCTGGGAGGCCTGATGACCCCTTGGCTCCTCGAGGACCTGGAGACCCAACCAGTCCTGTTCTTCCTGGGCTGCCTCTCATGCCCTAAGAAATAAGAAATGAAAATTGGGACATTTCCTAAAAATTCATCCAGAGGCTCAGTATATGTAGGAGGGGATGGTGTTCCAAAAGGCTGCTGTTGCCACACTGCCTGGGTTTGAGACCTATCCTGGGCTTCTTTCCCAAATAAGTGAAATACTTAAGTAATGTTTTGACTCACCTAAAGTCTCTAATTATAGTTAATGTAATGGTCTGAGGTATTTAAAATGAAAATACTGAGGCAGTATAGTCTGTTAGTACCTTCTGACTTAAATAGCCTAGGTGCAAAGTATGTGTGTTGTGTTCTAACTTTCTGTATTATATTCTGGATATGCATGACAACTCTAATAACTGATTAATGTTTCCTTAAGAAAAATATTCTATGGCTATTAACTAGACCTACTGTGGTGATCATTTCTCAATACGCACATATATTGATTCATTATGCTGTATATCTGAAACTAATATAATATTTTATGTCCCTTATATATGTTTCAATTTAGAAAAAATTAAGAAATTAAAAAAAAAAAAAAAGGTTTCTGAGCGGTTCACTTGTTAGCCCAGCATGGAAAATCACTTGCTGATATGACTTACATCATGTCCTCAAAGTAAACTTGCTTAAGATTATTACCTTTTGGCAAGAACAACGGCCTGAAATGGTAAAGACATCGGAGCAGCTTCAATAGCCAATTAAAAAACAAGGCAAATGCTTTTCAGTGGTTTTCCTTGCCTCTTGATGAATCAACAGATGTTACCAATACTACTCTTGTTGATTTGGGGAGCCAACGCTGTGTTGAAGTGACTGAAGAGCTAACCTACGTGAACAGTCTGCAGATTGACTATAGGTGAGAGTATTTTCAAAGAATTTAAAACACTGAATCAGTACAACCTCAAGTGGAATCTGCTAAAATGTGATAAAAACTAATAGCAATGCATTGGGAAAATATTTATTGAACAAATTTACAAAAGTTGTGAAAATGTAGTGTATTTAAAGCTATGGATGTTCACCATATTATCCACCATCAGGTCCACTGAGGAAAATACTCATCTAGCATGTGTTATTGAACCAGTAGTGCCAATAGTGAATTCCACTGACTCTGGCAACCTTCATCCATTTTGTGAGATTTTTTGTGAAAATAGAAACTGAATATCCTAATTTTCTCTATCACACAGCAATCTGATGGCTCGGCAGGGATAAAGTTTTATTGAGATATTCTGAGAATGAGATTGAAATGTTTTTGAATGGGAAGACCCACCCTCAACCTCTATTATTGAATGATGAACAGGTTTAGGAATTAGATTTTGCTGCAATGCCTATAAGTGAAGCATATACTTTGGTAGTTGTTTCTTTTTCTTTTTCCTTCTTTTTTTTTAAGGGTGAGGGCAGAGGCAGAGGCAGAGGCAGAGAGAGAGCGAAAATCTTAAGCATGTTCCATGTTCAGCACAGAGCCCAACACAGAGCTTGGTCTTACAACCCTGAGATCATGGCTTAAGCCAAAATCAAGAGTTGGACGCTTAACTGACTGGAGTCACCCAGGTGACCCAAGTCATTTCTTTTTCTTTCCTTTTTTTTTTTTTTTTTTTTTTTAAAGTAACCTCTATACCCAACACAGGGCTTGAACTTACAACCCCAAGATCAATAGTCACATGCTTTACCAACTGAGCCAGCCAGGCACCCCATATGCCAGAGCCATTCTGAGGACAACTAATGTTTGAATCACAAGAACATCAAGCAATTTTATACATTTCCTGTGATGTCAAAAATTAAAACAATAAGTCAGATCTTCATTTCCCACACAAATTTGCAGTGGGTAGATTTTCTGAGCTCAACTCCTTTCCGTAGCATTTTTTAGCACTAGAGGCAAGACATTTCTGTACCTCAAAATTCATTTAACTGTGCAGCTGAGGAGTTCCCACCTAACAGTTCAACTGGAAATGCTAATATACAACGTAACGACATGCTAGAAGGCAAATAATCAAGAGAAGAATCTAACAGAATTTTATAAATTCCTTCTAAGCAACAAATATGCACAATTAAAATCATATGTTCATGAATTTGGCAGCACTTATATGTGTGAAAAGAATTTTCAAAGATAAAATTTGGAAAACATGCAAAATCTCATTATAGGTCACCATTAACAAATAAAAAGAAAATTTTGATGATAGGGAACTGTAATAAGCTAAATGTTACCTCTCCTCCCACAAATAATTCTATTTTTTCTCATAAGTAGACTTGTATTACAAAAAAATTTTACTAAATTATTATATTTTCAATTTCATAAAGAAAAATTTTGTGAAAATCTATTTTTTCTCATTATATAAGTTCTTAAATAGTACCTTAATTTTGCCTACTGCCCTGCAAAGCCCAAAATATAATATTTACAGAAAACATTTGTTGACCCCTATTTTAGGAGATGACTGCTACTTTTTGAGTTGATTCCTGGGATACTAAACTGGGTTGTGCAATCATTCTTCTAGGCATTCAGCAAATATTTGATTATGATATAGAATATTATTATGTGAAAGCAAGGTCATAGGAAGCCCTATGAGCAATACAAAAATAAATAAAATAAGGTTTTTGTTTTCAAGAAGCTTAAAATTAAGTTAAAAATTGTAAAATGTGGGGCGCCTGGGTGGCTCAGTGGGTTAAAGCCTCTGCCTTCGGCTCAGGTCATGATCCCAGGGTCCTGGGATCGAGCCCTGCATCGGGTTCTCTGCTCGGCAGGGAGCCTGCCTCACCCTCTCTCTGTGCCTGCCTCTCTGCCTACTTGTGATTTCTGTCTGTCAAATAAATAAAATCTTTAAAAAAAATTGTAAAATGTAATATGTAAATAGTTATAATAAAAACAAATATTTTAAAGATTTCCAGATGAGAAGAGAGATACAAAGCAAATACTAGAGGGGTCCTGAATAGGGGAAATTTTCTTTGGTGTTAATCAAAAAGGCATTACTGAGAAAGTAGATTAGAACAAGATCACAAGATAAAGATATTGTTGGGGCACCTAGATGACTCAGTCAGTTAAGAGGAATGCAAGTTGGTGCAGCCTCTTTGGAGAACAGTGTGGAGATTCCTCAAGAAATTAAAAATAGAACTTCCCTATGACTCTGCAATTGCACTACTGGGTATTTACCCCAAAGATACAGATGCAGTGAAAAGAAGGGCCATCTGTACCCCAATGTTTATAGCAGCAATGGCCACAGTTGCCAAACTGTAGAAAGAACCAAGATGCCCTTCAACGACGAATGGATAAGGAAGATGTGGTCCATATACACTATGGAGTATTATGCCTCCATCAGAAAGGATGAATACACAACTTTTGTAGCAACATGGACGGGACTGGAAGAGATTATGCTGAGTGAAATAAGTCAAGCAGAGAGAGTCAATTATCATATGGTTTCACTTATTTGTGGAGCATAACAAATAGCATGGAGGACATGGGGAGTTAGGAGAAGGGAGCTGGGGGAAATTGGAAGGGGAGGTGAACAATGAGAGACTATGGACTCTGAAAAACAATCTGAAGGGTTTGAAGAGGTCGGGGGGTGGGGGGTTGGGGAACCAGGTGGTGGGTATTAGAGAGGGCACGGATTGCATGGAGCACTGGGTGTGATACAAAAACAATGAATACTGTTATGCTGAAAATAAATGAAAAAAAAAAAAAAAAGAGTCCAATTCTTGATTTCGGCTCAGGTCATGATCTCATGGTTGTGAGATCGGGCCCTGCATTAGAATCCTGTGTCCAGCTCTATGCTGAGCATGGAGCCTACTTGGGATCCTCTTTCCCTGTCCTCTTTCCCTCCCCCCACTCACATATGCTTTCTCTCAAAAAAAATAAAAGATAAAGATATTGTCCTTAAAGATAAAGATATTGCCCTATCACAAATGTGATAGGAGAGGTGATTTGTCAAAAATAGAGTCTCTTAAAAAAAAAATGGGGTGCCTGGGTGGCTCAGTGGGTTAAAGCCTCTGCCTTCAGCTCAGGTCATGATCCTAGGGTCGTGGGATCCAGCCCCACATTGGGCTCTCGGCTCAGCAGGGAGCCTTCTTCCCCCCACCCCCCACCCCCCGCCTGCCTCTCTGCCTACTTGTGATCTCTATCTGTCAAATAAATAAATAAAATCTTTAAAAAAAAATAGAGTCATTTCTGTAGAAGGCCTGGTTGGGAGAATAAGATCTAAAGATAAAGCTGATTTTGAATATAATACTGAAGTATTATTCCTTTTTCCCCCAAGTTATTTCTTCCAAATTATATCATCACATACCTTTTCATTCTTTTACTTATGGTTAATAATTCAACATAGTTAAAGAATTACCTTTTCCAGGTAGATTTTCTCCATGATCACAAAGCTGACTAAAATAATGAATGAAAATGTATTTTATATTCCTAGGTGCCATGTACTATGCTGGGCACTCACAGGAAGACACCTACAGGATACCTACAGGATATAGGTTCATAGTTCTTAACTTGATCTCTAAACATTTTTTTTGTCCCAATCTACATTGACTATTTTTATCTCTTACCATTTCTCTATGTTAGTGGCTCTCAATATACATTAAGGACCAATTATGAGGACAAAATCCTCATTGGGAAAAGGTGAAAGGAAGGGGAGAAATAAAGACAGAAGTACAGTAGGGGAAGAGCGAGAAGGGGGAAAGGTAGGGAGAGAGAGAGAGACAAAATGAGAGGGAGGAAGCAGGGCTGGGCAGATAGAAAAGAGAAAGAGAGCCGCATTGTGGACTTAAGATTCAGGTGGTATGGTTCTCCCATGTTGCTTGCATCATTAATCCAAGTGCACTAATCTCTACTTCCTTCCCCTTGCCACATGAACTTGAGAACCCTGGATTCATGTAATTTATCGTATTTCTTTCCTCTTGCCACACAAATCCTGGATTCATGACATGGTGTCATTTTAGAACTCATCAATGCAAATGAAAGCAAATTCAGTCATAGTCATCTGAGACTTTGGGATATAAAATTTTAAAAAATGTTCAGTGAAGACATAGCTGT